ACAGGACTCTGCTGGCCATCATGCGGCTCTCCACCGCCAGAGCTCGTCTACGCGCTGGTGCTGAGGTCACCAAAGCGGATATCGACGAGGCAATGCGTCTCATGGAGGCCAGTCGTGCCTCGGTGCACAATCCGCTCGGAGGTCCTCGTGACCGTAATCGGTAAATTTCTTGTTACTACTGTTAATGAACGCGGTCCAGCTGGTTATGACTTTCTTTGGCAGGACTGTCTTAGGAGGTCTTTTCTGTCTTTGACTTAACAATAACCCACTTGCACATTTTCAGTAACCAGTCTTTCTCTTTTTTCGTTATATTCCGACAATATAAAGTTGATTTTCCCTCAATTGGCATCAGTATTCCGAGAAACAGGAGTCTATATTGATGGATTTGATTCCATTTACTACAGTGAAACAAATATAAGTTTCTTTAATTTAATATTTTTGATCACTTCCACCACAATCAACTATTCATTTACACTCACTAACCAAGAATTAACTGCTTGAGCACAAAATACGTTAGACAGTTGGGCTGGGGGGCCCTACTATCCAATTTCGCCCCTTTAATTTGCCGATAAACAGGTCATCTGACGGATGCATCGCGTTTGTTTGTCTTAATGCCCACTCTTTTACCCTTCTAGCACCGATTTCTACATCTTCGACGGCTGTTTTTCAGGCCCCATCACACCCTTCGGTTTTCTTTGTTTTAGCCCCGCCTCATACAAGGACAACATCTACCAGGTTATACGTGACCTTTTAACCACTGGCGGTGGATCGACTCGTCTGGCAGATATCATGGAACGCTGTGCTACCAAAGGCTTTACACCGGCCCAAGTAAGTGTGGTAGCACGATTTGCATACGTGTGTAAAAACCTATACGGCTTAATCATCCCGTTGCTCCGGCTGCTATCGAATTGCGTAGACGCGATGTTCGTCAAACACCCTGCTTGCCACCGTTGAGGTCTCCCGTACTATCGAGCGTAACATGTATTTAGAATGTGGACGGCTGCTCGGCTTAAAAACTGTTTTTTTAAAAAATATTTTTGAACCGTATTTTTTAAATTTTCAGGTCAATGAGGTGGTTGATGCCTATGAAAACCTTAATGTTTGGCAAGTGAATATGGGCAGGACTCGGCTCACGGCGGTCGCATAATGGGCAAGATTTGGACTTGATTGTGGTTTTATGTGTGCATTCTACTCCTTGATAGATGTATTTGCCTTCAAAATAGATTTTATGTCACTTTTTCTAACCGCATTCTTCTACCTCTGTCGCCTTCCGTGTCCTCGGACGAATGCTTAGTTGTCCGTTCTTTAGTGGAGACACTCAACTTTCCCGCCAGGTCCGCTTCGGTGTGGCTTTCAAGTACTTTGACTGATATCGCGACGTCAGGTAGCGTATACGTCGCGCTTTACAGCAGAGGTCGTTAGGTCATGTCTGGTTTTTCTTCCACTCCAGACAGTTTGTGCGTCGAAAACGAGCCGGGAGTACAAGTCTGTCTGCACGAAGCTTGCGCGGAGGCTTTCGGAGTGCAAGTGGGTTGTGTGGCCTCTATGAACTTATGCCACTCAATCGAGTGACTAGAGTTGGCCTTTTTTCAGATTTAGCGACAAACGTGGTTTCTGCGCCGGTCGCACGTTTCCCTGACTACCCAGTCACGTCAGTTGTCGTGTCCCTTTGTCCTTTATCCACGCGAGAGTGCTCTCCGCTCCCCACCCTTGCAGCTTTTGGGTGGTAGCTGTTGTCTCTCTCCCCCCAGTTCCGTCTTTTTGTCTTCCAGGTGGGACACTGGTAGGGCTTTGCAGACCACGATAAAGGCATGCCTGTGGCGTGGAGCGCTATTTTGGGACTGGTCGCAACACGCTTCTCGTTTTTAGCTAACACATCTGATAAAATGCAGTCCAAATTTGGCGGTTAGCAAGAAAAGTGAGGTATGGGAAAAAAGAGGG